TATGTAACATGGCTAAAAAAGTAAACCTGAATCTCTCATAGACAGCCTCTCTTGAAAATGTCATGCTAAAAGCCAGCAAGTCAGTGCAACAGCCAAGCGACTAGCATTTTCAATGGAGGATCACCCATGGCAGACCCTCCCTCAGGACAGGTTTGTTGTAAAAAGACGGTCAATTCCCATAAACACCAGTGCTGTATGGCATGGCCACCATGAAGCAATGAATTATTCCAGGCAGACTGCAGGTTATTTTATATATAGATATATTTATATTTTAGTATTTTCAACCATTTCTCATAGTCCTATTTTACAACATACAAAATAGACATCAGTATCTATAAGTCTGGATTATTTCAGAGTAAAATATACATTAGAAAATAATAGTACCAAATTTTCCCCCCTTTTCTCTTGTTGGATAAAGAAGCAGTGCATTGTGGGCCGGTCTGCAGTTACCATATAGTAGTGCATCATGAGGAACATATGCGGACCACTCTAGGCTTCACAGCAGTGGTTTGTGCATACCAGCCTGTGCTCTGCAGAATCATGCTTTGCTTCCCTCACCAGGTAAAAGGGTTGAGTAGTGTATAAGGAAGGGGGCCCAATTAACACCTTAATAGCGCATAGACTTGGCTCTTTGGGATACACGCTACAGACCAATCCTTCCACATTGTGCACAGTATACAAGATCAGTTATTCTTAACAAAAGCCTATTCGTTTAAAAAAACAAACAAAAAAAAAAAAAAAAAAAACAAAATCACAGCTTTCATTACAGAACAGACGTGCCCCATCTTTGATTTGCTTTTTTTAAAGCATGGTCCCTACCTTTTGATGATTTTAGTAAACTGAACTCAAGACTTATTTTGTTCCATTGTGATTGGACAAGCTTTTAATGGAAAACACTGAGGCTGGATTCACACTTTTGTGAGTCTCTGCAGTGCGTTACGTTGCACATTAACATGGGTTGCATTAGTGAAGCCAATTCATTATTAATGGGCTGTCAAAGCACCATCAAAAGATGTATATGACCCTTTTTAGCAAAAAAAAAAAAAAAAAGCGCAGCGCAATGCAAAGGCACTGCAGTGTACCGCACTCTACAGTACAATGCGTTAGAATGGCATTCACAATGAACAACACACAAGTGTGAATGGACCCTCAGACTTTGATCCATGGAGGCTGATCTACAGTAACCTATGAACTACTAAGCAATGATCCCATGGCAGCAAGTAGACCAGGGGTAGGCAAACTGTGGCCCTCCAGCTGTTGTGGAACTACAAGTCCCATCATGCCTCTGCAAGTCATGATGTAACTGTCAGCTTTTCAATGCCTCATGGGACATGTAGTTCCATGACAGCTGGAGGGCTGCAGTTGCCCACCCCTGAAGTAGACACAAGTTCTGCTGCGTACAATAGACAATTCAAGCATATCAAAATAGGAAATTGTCAATAATCTCTGTTTATGCTTTAAATGGTGTCTGTCAGAAAGCAAAAGGCCCATCTCCCAAACCATTCTCCAATTCAGGGGGGGTATTAGACTCACAATGTGCACTAAACGGTTTCAAACGTCAATGCAGGTTAAAAGGGAACAGCCTCTATAAGGCCCCTTTCACATGGGTGGACTCCGCCAGTGGATTATCTGTCCGTTGATCACTGCTGAGCAGGCAGATGACAGGTCCTTTCCTCTATGGGCAGTCGGATGTAAATGGACTGCCTGTCCGTTTACATTTGACTGTCATCTGATCTGCTAGATGGACGGGGAACGGATCCCTCGTTTGTCTGTTTTTAGAGGATCGGCTACAGGCAGGTGTAAATGGACACGTCTGTTTACATCTGCCATTTCATAGAGAGCAATGGATGGTCCAATCGGGTACGCCTGAAAAATGGACAGGAGGACCCCATCAGTCTGCCTGTGTGAATGGGGCCTAAGGCTTCACACAGCTGTAAACATTTTACTGATATTATTACATGAGTTTTCTAGGAGAAAAGTTGCTGCGTAACAATCAGTAAAATACTTGTGTATAGATACATTTAACGTAAAGACGCATATTTGTACATAACTTGTTTTTATGATAATCTATTTTCCCCTTTGTTTAGGCTTAATTTACACCTGTACAAATACATTTATATGTGTAAATCTAGATTTTTGGATTCTGTGTTACGGATCTAAAAGCAGATCATGTTTACACACCTGTGTGAATGAAAACAATGTAGCTGTGTTCAGATCTGTAATTAACCTCTTCGCGCCAGCGCCTCCAGGCCCTTTAAGTTTCAGAAGCCAGGAGATGGGCGGGGTTTTAGGGTCATGTGACCACCATGATTCACTGTCACATGATCAGAAAAGGTGCCGATCGAAAGGGGAGATCAGGACCTTTTCGTGAGTCACGGACATGTGTGCTGGGAGCGCGCACTCTTAGTAAATATGTATTTTCTAATTGCACGCAAATATGCGTCCGCTCGGCGTCAAGGCCCAGATGCCGAGAGGCCTCATATTTGCGTGCGCTCGGCGTCAAGGGGTTGAAAAACACTTGTATATGCGTATTTTTATGGCCATGTCAATGAAGCCTAAGGTACTTTTCTGTATTAAACAGGCAAGTACACAAAGCATTAGTGTATACATTAGAAAACATTGTTGCAGCAGAAGTGTCAGTTTAGAACCAGACCGTGGCATCCAGAGCTCTTAGCTACAGTGCTGCAGCATCAATCTCATGACTCCTGCCCACCCTTATTGTGCAGTAGGATATGGGGAGGTCTGATCTATGACATACCTCCCTGTATTCCAGAAGGTGGACTGGACTGAGGAGAACTGACACAAAGCACAGCAACCAATGGCTCCAGCTGCCACAGGGTTGAATGGGTTTGCTGCACAAGAGAAATTATTATTTAGTTGGCCTGCTTTAAGGAAAACGGTCATGAAAGAAACATGAAAGTTCCTTATGAAAATGCAAGCTGCCTGGTTGTCATGCCATCTCCTCTTGCTTTGATATAATGGGCCACTGACCCAGCACAAGCATGAAGAAAATTGACACTTTTTTTTTTTAATTTTACATCATTGCACGACTGTTCAAGGTCAGTGTATCTCACCAAAGGCAGGCGGGTCAGTATAACTGCCAAGCAACTAAGATTTTCAGCAATGGCAGTCTCCTCATTTCTTTCATGACAGTTTAATTTGCAAGTACTTCATCACTGGTGAAGCTGTTCTTTAATTCGCTACTCCAGATGTCCAATTCAGCTTAGAAGCTATGAAATGGCTGCTTCCATCAGAAATGTATCCTGAGATACAGATTTTGCTTTATGACCTTTATAGAAAGTATGTCTCAGACAAAAGGGCAAAAAATTGTATTAAAAAAATTAGCATCATTCACCCAGGCACCTCTACAAGACAAAATTCCTAGACAGTTACATGTCAAAATCCTGAGAATCGACAGCTTTGTGCTACTATTTTCTTTACGTACTTCTCCTCACTCAACTAAAGTAAACAGGGTGACATATGTGTAGCAATGCAGAGACCCGCATTACCTGCTAGATGGGGCTGTAGGCTATCCCAAGAACCTGGCCTATGGGCTGCAAGTGTTTAAAATGTGCCCCCACTATAAGGCAAATGAATTCCTGCAAATCAAAGCAGCAGTGGGGGTGTTGGCAGTCATGAACATGCTGCAGCCTATAGTGTTGTCGACGTCTCTATACATGAATAATAAAACATGCTGCAACAGAAAATGACAGCTAATAACCGTTGAAAGTCAATTCAGAGCATTGCCGCACTGTGCCATCTACATTATGAAACATCTACGAGCACCAGCATGGCTCTTTAATAACAAGATCATCTAATCAACCTAAAAAGTGTCCAGACAGGGGACTGGCAGCCGCAGAGCATTCCTGATGCCTAGGGCTGGTAAACAGTTACCTGTAAAATCATTATTGGCTAAAGTGATAAAGTAGGTCACGGTCATGTAGTGATTATAGTAGTAACAAGGGACCATGAACAGATATCGACAAGACACACAAGAGGTTTAAAATGGAGCTCTGATTTAAAATGGGCTGGAGAACCAAGATATGGCAAAAAGTATTAAAGAATTCGAATATGGTCATCAAACAAGACCAAAAGAAAAAAAAAAAAAAAAAAAAAAAAAAAAGGTGACGCGGACAAGAGATCCAGTGACCTTGGAAAGAGAACACCGCTTATGAAAAAAACCCTCTTCATCTGCATAGAAAGTCATAAGAATTACCATCCAGAAAGTTTGTTCCCATCACCTTATTACACACAAACAACCCGCACTAATATCATGCCACAATTCAGAGAGAGTCGTTAAAATCTGGCACTTTTGTCCTCTTTTCTTGCCTCTTCTCCAGCCACCCTACATGACGGTTTATTGTTATTTGCTGCAACGTGGACGATACAGTCTCCCAGCTGCCCAGTGGCAACCATTCTAAACCCACATCCTCAGTCCAAGCTCCACTGTCTTATCCAGAAAGAGCCTGCACATGGATCTGCCCAGTGTCTTTGGGTAACAGTCAGAAAGTGCTTTGTGGTGAGGCTGAGGCCTGGGACAGAATACATAGATCTATCTGCCCTGGCCATTTGTCCTCTCTGTAGTGTATTCCTCTGTGTATATTCTTTGCGCTTTCATAGTTCCTATATTGTGAAGCCCACTTCTTATGGACATAAAAAATTCCGTTTGTCATGGCATTTGGAAAATGGAGGATCCATTAATTCTGATGTGGATAAAGACGGAAAGCAGTGCTTGATGCAGTCGCAAGTTCCCTGGTTTACACTCAGGAGCTGAGACCATACAATACCCCCCTTCCCGTGCAAGAAGCGAAGGCGGCTGTGCCCGAGGCAAGGATGTGGAATGCATAGACAGGCAGCGGGGAGGGAGATGAAGATTCCCAGTTCTGTTTTGTTCACAAATGTTTTCATGCGAGAGTGACCCCTCTCTGTAAGGTGTGAGGAGGCAGGTGAGGAGAATGGGCTGGGGTAAACAGTCCAGGCAGCAGACTGGCGACATGGTCTCACCTCGGGATGGGAGGCAGGGGAGGAGCACCACGGGTTGCTGAAAGGCAAAATTAGGATTGTTAAAATTTGCATTAAAAAAAAAAAAAAAAAAAAAAAAAAATGTATTAGGACACAGGCTACCTGCTGAGTGTCTTACTTTCATGAGGACATTTATTTATACAACTAACATTGTACAAATATTTATAATTGGCCTTATGCTTCCTATAGTAAAAAGTCTAAAGCTGCAATAATGCAGGCCAGTGTTCACCAGCTCAGACATTCTACACTCGCTGTGCCCAACACAACTTTAGCCATGTACATAGGAGAGCAAACCGTGTCAGAGTATCCTTTTCCTAGACAGTATTAGCAGTTAGGCTTGGTTCACATCTGTGCGGGTGGTGATGCTGCGGATCCGCACAAAAATCCGTGCAGCCGAACCACCCACACAGTGATATGCGGACCCGTGGGCGGGTGCCATTCGTTCTAAGGGAACGCCGCCCGCACTGGAAAACGCAGCAGTACTGGGTTACCGAGATTCCTGTGCGGGCTGCGTTTTCAGAATTCCCGGGAATTCTTCCCTGCGTGTCATGGGGCACAGGAGTCCATTCAAATGAATGGGCTCTAGTGCCTGTGCAAAGCGTGGCCCGCATGGCCTCATATATGTGAACCAGGGCTCAGGGCCCATTCAGATTGCTTTGTAGTTTTGCTGCATGTGTGTTATGTGTTGCAGTAAGACATCCAAATTCACTATAAATGAGCTGCAGCAAAACCGTTTTAATAAACCTGCAGCATATATGTGAACTGGGGCTAACGGAGTTTACCAGTCACCTGAAGCAGCTATGCAATATAAAAGTAGAGCTGTCATCACAGGCACAAAGTCATTAGTGCAAGCTAGGTACCACACGGTCCCAATCTGTATTACCAATTTAATACACTGCTACAGGGCCCACCATGAAGCCCATGGTAAGCAAATCTAGAAGTCCCCCCACCAAAACCGCATCCTACACTGGAAACGATTTCCAGAGCACAAAGTGCTAAAGTCCACATTTTCTGCCTCATTTCTGAAGATTTACTGGTAGTGATGAGAAACCAGGAAAATTACCGTATTTTTCGCTCCATAAGACGCACTCCCCCCCCGTTCCTTGGTCCAGCGATGTCCTCATCACCTCATCAACTTTAGTGTGGGCACCCGGCTGTGACAGCTTGTGGCTTCACAGCTGGGTGCCCACTGTGCCTGTGCGAGAAGCGCTGCGCTTTGTGAATGGCCCCGTAGTCTTCTGGGACCTGTCACATGTCCCAGAAGACTACAGGGGAGAAAGAAGATCACAGCGGACGTGGGAGCAGGTACCTGTGAAATTACTCCCCAAAGGTCCACAGTCTCTGGCCATCTCCTGTAGTACGTCCGCAGTCTCTGGCCATCTCCTGTAGTACGTCCGCAGTCTCTGGCAATCTCCTGTAGTACGTCCGCAGTCTCTGGCCATCCGCTGTAGTACCTCCGCAGTCTCTGGTAATCCGCTGTAGTACAACTGCAGGCTCTGGTCATCTGCTGTAGTACGTCTGCAGTCTCTGGTCATCTCCTGTACTGTGTCTGCAGTCTCTGGTCATCTGCTGTAGTACGTCTGCAGTCTCTGGTCATTTCCTGTACTATGTCTGCAGTCCATTGGTTCAGAATATTTTTTTTCTTGTTTTACTCCTCTAAAACCTAGGTGCGTCTTATGTAGCGAAAAATACGGTACTTCATTTTTGGTGGTTCTGAACATATGCTAATAGATTTGTCTAATCAGTCAAGCATCATTCATGCATAAATAAAGAATGCCGAATTCCTAAACTCTATGACTTCACATATCCAAAAGATCTGTATATGCAAATACCCAGTAAATAAAGAGATGAATCATTACTTTTGGTTTGATCGTACATGTTCCCATGCACGCCTATCAACAAGACAATAAAAAGCTAGCCACACACATTAAAATTTTATTTGTACAATATCTGTACAATCTACTTACAATTCTCAACAATTATGCAATGTGAAGCCCTAACCACACAACCCACTGAATTTATGTCCAGCTGGTTAAGTACAAGCAAGGATACTGTATAAACAGGTTATAATAGGTGTGGAGCACTTGACACAGATGTAAGATGACAGCAAGACAAGGTTTTTGATAGTCCAGGTAAAGTTTAGAAGTACCACGGCTCTAAAGCAATGCCACTGTGTTTGAAGGAGTTCAAAAGAACCCCTCCATGAGGGCTACCAATGTTATGGACAAAAATGCAGTGGATTTCACTTCTCATTATTCCTACATGACACTTGAGGGTGAAATGTTTACCTTATAGAATTATACTACTGAATACATTGCAGTCATCCTATGTGACTATAAATGGAAACGCTGATGTAAAAGAGGGCAATAAAAACACATTTTGAAACAAATTACATTTGTTACAGATCAGCTTTCTTTTAAAAACTAGAAACCTAACAGCACTCATTGCTTCCAGTGGGAAATATACACACACTTGTATCTGGGCAAGTGAAGACACATAGAAAAAATGTGTGACATCACATATTACAACAGATATGTGAGTTAACAGGAGATTCCGGTCCTCCAGATTAAACAGTGTTGCTCCTTAGGAAGGCAAATCAAAAACCCTGATAACGACCAATGCCAGTTATGCCGTATAGAATAAAACACACTCCTGATGAAGCATGGCACCCAAGCTAATTCATGCACTGCCATAATCTTATTCTTTACTGATGATCACCATGAACATACATAGTTGTGGGAAATTTATACAGTCCATTGTACACTGTAAATACCTGTAGCAAAGCCCCTTCCATAAGAAGCATAGTGGGCATTATACAGGCTATAAAAAGACAATACTCTCACAACATAAAAAGCCTAAACTAAAAAAAATTAACAGGTCAGTCCACCCATAACTGGCATTTTGGTATTGGCTAGATGCTGACTGCAATATGCTAAATGAGGTTCCACCCTTGACTGAAGTAAGACTTTTGTCAGTCCAAAATAAATAAATAAATAAATAATTGAATGAAGTGCAGCAGCTTGGAACTACTTGTCAGATGTCAGCAATTCAGGGCCAGGAAAATGAAATATGCAACTCCCTGCTTCGGGTGATGTGGCATAAGCTTTCTTTCAGTCAGAATAACCATTTTCTCACCTCTGATTGTTTTACTAGGGTAGATTTTCTGGAAGGGTCTATAGTCTTCTGGAGCAGGAAATTCATCCACTGAATGGAAGGAGTATTTTGACTCAAAGTCATCTGAAATACATCATTAAAAGTTATTGTGGCAGCTATCAAAGTCACTCATTACCAATTGTTAGGGTATTCTAATGCCTAGGTGAGGAGGAGAGTTCTCTAGGTACTAAGTAATAGGGTCCTTAACCACATCAATACCGGGCACTTTTACCCCCTTCCTGCCCAGGCCAATTTTCAGCTTTCACTTTGAATGATAATTGCACGGTCATGCAACATTGTAGCCATATGACATTTTTATAATTTTTTTCCACACAAATAGAGCTTTCTTTTGGTGGTATAAATAAAAAAAAAAAACACCTGAAACTTTTGAAAAAAAAAAAAAAACCCTGCACTTTTCTTAGTTTCTGTTATAAAATTTTGCAAATAACATTTATTCATAAATTTACGTCAAAATGTATTCTGCTACATTTCCTTGGTGAAAATAATAATAAAATTTGTATTTTTTTTCAAATGTTCCTATTATTTTTTTTTAATTAAATTTTTTTTTTATTTTTACCATTTTATTTTTCAGCACACTGTGACCAAAGCAATACAATGTTACCATAGTAACATTGAACTACTCTGGGCAAGTGATCAGGATTTTTTTTTTTTTTTTTAACACATTATGATTGCTAATACCAATGTATTTCATTGACATTTGCAATCATTGTTACTGAATGAAACTGATTCAGTCGTCTGTTGTGATCAGCTGTGATTGGGCAAAGCGGATTACATGATACAGATGTGCTGTGATTGGCCCTGTCTGTATCATGTGACTGCCTTGACCAGTCACAGCTAACAACATAATTGTATACAATGGATGGCATGACAGGAAGCCATCCATTGTATACAATGGACATGTGATCTGCTGTGATTGGTCACAGCGGTCATATGACACTGGCAACAGGCCGATGTAGTGATATGTCATCGGCTGTGTCCCCTGACAGATCGTGCTGCTGAGCGGCCCCGCGGGCGGCTCATTTTGATAGGATGTCATATGACGCCCAGTCGCAATGAGCAGTGTCCCGTCCAGCCGTCAATCTGCTATAGGCCAGGCGGGAAGGTGTTAAGCATCCAGGACTGGACATCTGTCAACAACTGCAGATATCAGCTGGGTGTGCGAGTACATGCAAACAGCAATGGCTCCTCTCAGCACAACTAATTCTTGCCACTGGAATCCACGGTATGTACAAAACTGCCCATGTGGAACTGGCCATCGTGCACAACACAAGAAAGGCCATGACAAACTAAGATCTATTATTATTATACAGGATTTATATAGCGCCAACAGTTTGCGCAGCGCTTTACAATATAACGGGAGACAATACAGCAACAATACAGTTCAATATAAGAGGGATAGGAGGGCCCTGCTCCTTGGAGCTTACAATCTAGGAGGGAAGGGCTAGTGGTACAAAAGGTAACTGTGGGGGATGGAGTGGTTGGAAGAGTAGAAGATTCCAGTATTAGCTGAGGGCAGGATAGGCTTCCTGAAGAGATAGGTTTTCAGAGATCGCCTAAAAGAGGAGTGGAAAGAGTACGGTTTGGGCGATATTTGGAGACAAGAATGGTGATGTAATTTGGGGCAGAGTTATAAATGCTATAAACGTTAATGTTAGTGTTTTGAATTTTATCTGTTGGGCAATGGGAAGCCAGTGGAGGGATTGGCAGAGAGGGGTGGGAGATACAGAGCGGTTAGTAAGGTGGATGAGTCTGGCAGCAGCATTCATGACAGACTGAAGAGGGGATAGCCTGCGATTCGGTAGGCCAACGAGGAGGGAGTTACAATAGTCAAGGCGGGATATAACAAGGGAGTGAATAAGTTTCTTAGTGGTTTCCAAGGTTAGGAACGGGCGTATCTTGGAGATGTTGCGGAGGTGAAGTCTACAAGATTTGGATAGTGGATTGGATTTGGGGCTGAAAGGACAGATGGGAGTCTAGGATTACACCTAGTACCCTGGCATGACGGGAGGGAATGATGATTGTGTAATTGATCTTGATGGAGAAGTCAGGGGAGGGGGCACGGACTGGGGGCAATACTAAGAACTCAGTTTTGGAAAGATTGAGTTTGAGGAAGTGGAGTGACATCCATGCCGATATGTCACTTAGTAGGTTAGTAATGCGAGAGGAGACTGAAGGGATGAGGTGAGGGGTAGAAAGATAGATTTGTGTGTCATCAGCATAGAGATGGTACTTAAAGCCATGGGAGTTTATCAAGTGACCAAGGGAGGAGGTGTAGATGGAGAAGAGAAGGGGTCTAAGGACAGAACCTTGAGGGACCCCTACAGAAAGAGGGAGTGAAGAGGAGGAGGTAGCATTATAGGTAACACTTAAGGAGCGCTGCGATAGGTAGGAGGAGAACCAGGAGAGAGCAGAGTCTCTGAGGCCAAGAGAGTGGAGTTTGAGGAGGAGGAGGGGGATGGCCAACCGTATTAAAAGCTGCAGAGAGGTCGAGTAGTAAGAGTAAAGTAAATACACACACTTCTTCAATAAGGCTTAAAATGAGGAGTTAAAGCAGCATTCCAGTTGAATAAAAGAAAAAATCAAGAGCTACAAAAACTATCTGCTGGCTTTTAAAATACAGACACTTACCTGTCCCTCAGTCCAACGATGTCCTCACCATGGCTGGTTTCACAGGCAATCTTCTCTCCCCGGCATCTTCAGTGTGGGCACCCAGCTGTGACAGCTTGCGGCTTAACAGCCGGGTGCCCACTGTGCATGCACGTGTAGTGCTGCACTTTCTAAATGATCGTAGCAGAAGTAGGAGTGGGTAGCTGTCAAATTTGGGTACCCGCTCCCCAAAGGTGCCAATCCTTAATGGGGAGCAGGGGATAAAAGCTTAACTTCTCCTTTTGGGTGGAGCTCAGCTTTAAATGCACTTATCCATAAGTACCAATAAAAGGCTGTTGTGCACAGAGCTTAAAAAAATGCTGCTCTTACATGTGTTTGGCGGGTTTTTTTTTTCCAGCCTGTAAAAGCACCTCTATGTAAGCCTGTGTGTCAATGCTCACATTTACAGGCATATTAGAAAAGAGACGTTTACATACAAAAGGACAACAAACACACACAGTGTTCAGGAGAGGAGCTGAAGAGCAAAAAAAAAAACTGCTAGATACATCTAGAATTATTGCATTCCAATGTCCAGCATAAATTAACGTTCTGGCCAATGGAATCAATTAAAGCTCAAACGCTTGACATGCCTAAACGTGTGTGCAATATGTGGCTTTTACAAGGTTTTTTAAGCAGCTGTCTCCTGCCAGAAGTTCTAGCATTCAGAGAAGCTAAACAGACGCCCTGTATGCATTAGGCCTAAGGCTTAATCTGTTGTCGATATGACTCCTAAGAAGTGAAATACCACTTACTGCTATGTTAACTACATTCCTCCTAATGTATAAACCAAGCAGATTCAGAAATGGGGGTTTATAACAATCATTGCTTCAAATGTTTACCTGCTGCAAAAAGCCCTTTCATATTGATACAGATTCCTTAATGGTTATTTATAATACAAATTAATGTTTAGGTATTTACACGTTTTTTTCTGGGACAGGAAGAGGTGGTAAATTTCTCCAATAGGAATACAGACAAAACAAAAGCAAGTTTTAGCAGAATGGGGAAGGGTTAAAACTTCTGGCACTTTGCATTGCTGTCCTGCTGACAAACCCTATTTCCTAGTATCACAAGGACAGGAAGTGTCCTGTGCTGCAACACAAAATGTCATGAGACATGAGAGAAATTTTGACTTATGTCTTTTTTCTATAGTATAACTGATGCATTGTACCACAGGAAAACACGAGGCATGCTTCAAAGTTACACTAAAAAAGCAAGGTTTGCTTAAAAGTATTAAACTTAGAAAAAAAAAAAACGCTGCTAGGCAGGGTTTTAAAGCAGAACAGACCCAACTGGTCTCCTTAAATTGCAGCACCTGTTCTGTGGCAATGTGACGCCTGAGCACATGGGCAGAAGTGATGTCATTGTGGCCATTCAAGCAGGAGAAAAGAGCAAACAAAGAAGGAAAACTGGGAGAAGATGGAAGCACCCTTGCGCTGAGAGCACAGCTCTTCCTTTGACAGATATGTCTGTCATAATGGGATAGTATTTGGTGCATATTATGGTATAAAGATGCAGGGGGCCCAAATAAAAAAAATAAAATAAATTAATGCGTTTACGATTGCTTTAATAAATTAGGGCCCCTTCCCCTAGAACAAAAAAAAAAAAAATCCTTTAAGCGGGGCATGCTGTGTGTTCTAAATTCTGTGATACGACACTCCAGCACAAAGCAAGAGACTCAGCAGACCCCAAGATCTCGCCAAAAGAATGGTGACTGTGCAGTGAGCAAGCTTAGCAAAATGAAAGTTTAAAGATTTTTTTTTTCTTAAGCCCTGATTCACACTGATGCGGTGCGGAATTTGCAGCGGTTTCAGTGCGAATTCTGCACTGCATCAGAATCGCCCCCAGTTCTTGCGAACCACTGCGGGTGTGTATGTTAAGTTAACAACACCCTGAAAGCGGTCCGTAAAACGCGGTGCGATGTGCAGAATTGGATCGCATAGGTGTGAATACCTATGCGATCTGATTCTAGTGCGGACCCAAAAAAAGTGTCCTGCACATTTTTGGTGCTGGTACGGTGCGATTAGAGCCGGGTACGGTGCGATTAGAGCCATACAAACTGTATGGCTCCAATCGCACTGCACACAAAATCACGTGATTTGCACAGGAATGCGATGCGGTTCCTGTGTGAATCACATGCGGTATAGCGCACCGCACGTGTGAACCCAGGCTTAACCTGAGTGAAGTTCCACTTTAAATAGATTTCCCTCAGTTTTTTTTTTTTTTAAATAACGAGGTCCTTGCTTGTTAGTACTAAAACACACCTTGCACTAATTACTTGCGATTACAATTCATATATTTAAGCACTATGCAAGGCTGAAATTTTTAGTGGCATAGTTGCATACATTTTCATGAGTCACAATTCTTATCAATAGCTGGCTCAAATGATAAAATACAGATGTAGCTCTTAAGAAAATGTATGAGCTCTAACGCTAGGTTCACATATGTTCGGGTGGTGCCGCTGCGGAATCCGGACACAAATCCGTGCAGCCACACCACCCGCACAGAGAAATGCAGACCCTTGGGCCACCCACACTGGAAACCGCAATCGTACTGGGAACCGAGGTTCCCGTGCAGGCTGCGTTTTCAGAAGAAGTGCAGGGACGACTTCTCTACGTGTCACGGGAGTCCATTCAAATGAATGGGCTCTCGTGTCCGCGCAAAGCGCAGCCCACATGGCCGCATATATGTGAACCAGGGCTCAGGGCCCATTCAGATTGCTTCGTAGTTTTGCTGCATTTGTTATTATGCGTTGCAGTAAGACATTCAAATTCACTATAAATGAGCTGCAGCAAAACAGTTTTACTAGACCTGCAGCTTTTTTGACAAGCCGCACACCACAATGAGAAAGCCCAGAACTGTGTGTTATGGTTGGTGGCCAGGTGCACCGTGATGCCACTGAATCTCATTTAATTGTGTGTGTTAATGTACACTGTGATAATACCATGCACAAAGTAAACAACACACTTACCAGCAAATGACCTGCCAACAGATATTGAGTCACGGTGTCCATTCCTCACAGGAGGAGGCGGTGGAGGAGGTGCAGATGGTGTTCGAGAGGGAGGTGGGGGAGGCTTGACTCGATTCTGAGTGACTTCGCTTCCACCATGCATTCTATAGGGAGGAGGAGGAGGGGGAGGATCACGACCACCATTTCGAACTACAGGTGGCGGCGGAGGAGGAGCTGCAAAATAATTTTTAAGATTTAAGTTGATCTTTCAGTAACACTGTCATTCAGATTTGCTACGATAGCCAGCAATACCATTTAATATTAAAAAAAATCCATGATTGTAATTAAGCTTCAGCTAGGTAACTGTGACTAAAGGAAACATCTTGGAAGAATGAGGTTATCAGTCAGGTGAGAGACTACAGCTGCATGAGGCTGATCTCTGCAAAACCAAAATGTGTACAAATTTTGTGGCAGCAACACAAAGAGCACCGTGATTCACATGACAGACATTCATGATCCAGGAGGTAGTTGATGCTCCTGAATGATGCCTGAGCAAACATAACAGCCTTCTGAAGAGAAGGAAGATTAAGACACTGACTATGGAAGTACTTTGACAAGTTGTATCTGAATGAGGTCTTGTATAGTTGGGCTACAGCTGGTACAAAAGCAGTGTGTACAGACAGCTTTTAGGCTTTGTTCACATGTGCGGCTAGGGGAGCACTATAACCAGGTGGATTCGCCGTAGCTTTACCTCCCCCATGAACATGAGCATGCAGCCACTTGGGGCTGTACACGTCGCAGCCCTGGCAGAAACTATACAGAATATTGCATTCAGCAGGCATTACTATCAACAAACGCAATCAATGCAAATCAATGGAGCCGTGCTGCAACGGCATGACATGCACACAACTGCGGTACAGTAGTGTGGCATTTACAGGGTTTATTCAGGCAATGAGGAGGTGACATAATGCCTCCTTACTCATTGTAATGCACACGCTAGGTATGATTTAGGGATATTAAACACAGATCGTAATAGAAGGCCTGGCTATTACTTAAGCCTAGGTTATGGGTGCGGTAAATCCCATGTGATCTGTACAGGAACCGTACCACTGCATTTCTGTACAAATCACATGCGATTTGTGTGTGGTGCGATTGGAGCCATACATTTTGTATGGCTCTATTCGTCACGGCACCAAAAACGTGCAGGACCCTTTTTTGGTCTGCACTAGAATCAGATCACATGGGTATTCACACCTATGTGATCCGATTCTGCACATCGCACCACTTTTTGCGGACCGATGTCGTGGTGTTGTTAACTTAACATACACACCCACTTTGGTTCGTATGAACAGGGTGCAATTGTGATGCGGTGCTGAATTCACACTGAAAACGCTGCAAATTCCGCACCGCATCAGTGTGAACCAGGGCTAAAAGAAGCCGTTGGTTGAATCCAGCAGTCTTTCACCAGGTTTCAAGCTGTAAGAAAGATCACCAAAAGTCTGCTAGAAACTTGTTAAAAGTGACAGTCAGCATTTATATCTGTGTTTAATATCCACAAACTGTGGCTAATGAGTGCTTTAAAAAGCTGCTAGAACAGAAAATTTTCTGAGCCCATGTTGTACACACTGCTCTTAGACAAGCCTGTATGCTCAAGGCAATATATACCCATGCATATACATTTGATGATCGGTCCCATTTAAGTAGGTAAAGGAACCGCAGGAAATTAAATACTTGTAAATGATCCCCAAGCCCAGGTCATAACACTGCAACAAACACCAAATAACTTTTACAAGAGAGACTAAATAGCAAGAAAATCTGTATTAATAGAGGGTTGGTTGCAATATCCAATTTAAAGGATAAGTTCACCTTTGGGAACAGGTTACATGTTCCACCCGTTTTCAGGGTGGAACATGTAACATGTCCTCAATGTTGCAACTGCTCCCCAACCTGCCACCTCCAGTGACAGCGAGCCAGGGATCTTCTCTGAGCTCTTTGTCACAAGAATAAAAAAAAAAAAAAAAAGCCTTGGGCAGCTGTCAGCTTGTTGTTCTCAATTAACTACCAGGGCGCTGATGAGTGCTCTAGGTAGCTCATTAAGCTTCCTGTCAATGTGTAACTGCCTGCCCATGCGCGGTACGAGCAGACCACTTACATAGACAGTCTGGAGGAGTGCTGCAAAAAGATGTGCATTTAATTTAGTTTTTTTTTTTTTTTTACAAAGGTGAACTTATCCTTTAAAAGTACACATTCTGATTACTGTAATATTAATGGAACACAATATGATCAAACGTTAACCTCCTTACTGCATTATATTTTCAATACTGAATTACAAACAAATTTTAGGGCCAGTTCACACTGGATGGAGTCCAGTGCGTTTTTTTTTTCTGAATCAAAAATGATTGCACAGTGTTTTCCAATGGCCCTAGTTCTCACCAGTGCAGTCAGTTCCAGGTGCAGGAAAAAAAAAAAAAAAAAAAAAAAAAAAAAAAAAAAAGGACATGCTGCATTTTTTCTGCACATAACTGTTCTGGAACATAGACTACTGCAACGGAACGGCGAGTGGTGTGAACTATAAGCAAATACGCATCCGGAATGCATTTTTGTAGTGTGAATTGGACATCAGGCACATAGTTAAAATCTCTGAACAGCTTCCTTTGTGTTTTCATCCCACACACTTGCAATGACAGAGAGGTACATTGTACAACATTACTTAGAAGCAATGCCTGCATATTTAATAGGAAAATATGGCCATCATCATTCTTTACCGAATTTCAAACTAAATACAGATATAGGATTTTTAAAGTCTTAAAGAGAACTAGCATTCAAAAGTGGAAAAAAAATAAATAAAAAGCAAATAGGTAGGCTTTTAATTACAGAAGGCTGTCTCTTCTGAAATAAATGTTTGTCTACTGATTCCTTGAGCCGTGCAGGACATGGGTGCCATGATGAAATAATCCATGTGCACATGCTAATCAAGATAATGAGAGATGCCAAACCTCGGGGAAGACCCAGAGAAGAGATCAGTGGCACAGAAGTGGGATATACTAGACGGTGCCACACTCCAGGGGTTGCTATAGGAGCCAAGTGTGGCATAATGTACAAATAATTCTGTGCGTACTTGCACACCACGGCAAGAGCCTACTCACCATGATGGGGACTTTAGTTCCATGTTAACACAAACTTCTGAAAATTCTTACCTGGTCCTCTCCCTGGAGGATCCCTATTTGGAGGTGGTGGCCTGTTACCACCTGGAGAAAGGTTGGCTGAAGGAGGAGGTGGGGGAGCCAAATTTCGCACTGGAGGAGCCTGTTTTCGATGAAGCGAGTTATGCCTCTGTGGTAGTTCTGGTGCCTGGTCATTTATTGGACTGGGCGGTCCATTGACAGAAGCAGGCGGCTGCCTATAAGGTGGTGGAGGAGGCTGTCCCTGGGAAGAAGGAGCTCGCATATATTGACAGGAGAGGGTGGGGGCTTTACTGGAGGCGCAGCAGGGGCTCGATGTCCTGGGGTTGGCGGTAAAGGCTTGTCCCTATTGTATGGTTTGGCGTCTTGTGGAGGAGGAGGAGCAGGTCCTGTTTGTCGGCGACCTGGAGGAGGTGGTGGAGGAGCAGAAGAACTGTGCTTCATGCCAGGACTGCTCGTACTGGGGGGTCGCGTGAGGTCAGGCAGGGACGGTCTATGTGCACGGCCAACGTCTGGTGGCGAGGATCGATTGCTGCCACTGTCGGAGTCATCTTGCGGTCTACCTCCAGAGACTGGGGGGCGAGGAGCAGCTGATCGTGCTGTGGAACCCTGAAGAGGAGACCGACCAGATGGACCTTCTGAAAAGAAATAAAGAAATTGAGCACCTGCCTGAAAGGGTGCATTAAACAGAGACCGCCAGCTGTATTAAAAGAAACCTATCTTGAGAAGTTACTTAAAGTGGAAAGAAAAGCTACAAATAGGTTTGCTTATAAACACCGCTTTCCCCCTCCTACCTATGCTTTATGGTGCGGGTTAACCCCCCCCCCCCCAAAAAAAAAAAAAACCTTTAAAGCTAAAATATATAAAATTCTTGTTTTCAGATTCAAGTACACCATCATTCAAATTTAGTATGGGAACTTTAAAACACTGATTCAGACAGAAATGCTGGTTATCACTTTAAAGTGGAGCTCCACTCAGGAGGGGAAGTTCCACTTCAAGGACTGGTTCCCCCGCTCCCCGTTAAGGTTTGGCACGTTTGGAGAGAAGGTACCCGAAATTGACAGGTACCCGATGTTACTTCCGCTGCGATCACCTAAGCAATCGGAAGTTGTCCTCCCACCCCATAGTCTTCTGGAAAAGTGACAGGTCTCAGAAGACTACAGGACCATTCACAAAGCACAGCACTACTTGCACACACTGAAGATGCCAGGGTGGCCGGTGAAACTAGCTGTGAGGGGGGACTCCGCAGAATCAAGGGGCAGGTAAGTGGCTGTTTTTTTTAAAAGTCAGCAGCTACAGTTTTTGTAGCTGCTGACTTTTTTTTTTTTTTTCCCTGGAACTCAACTTTAAAGAAGATGCAAATGAGCCTCAGTAAGCATGAGCAGCACTTAAAGCTTTTTAAAAGCCTTTTAGCAGTGATAGTCAGCACTTCCATCAATATCAAATCTCCCAGCACTTGACAATGGGTCTCAATTCAGGGAGCTGAAATGTCACCTGCCAGCATACAATGCTCAAACGTTATCACTTCTTCCTTTTCCCTGCAGCAGCCTCTCCATGACAAAGGGGGGCTGGAGCTTCTGCATCACAAAACCGCACTGGAGAGGATTGAAAAAAAGGTATTTACACACATCTCCCAGCTTTGGAAGCTTTAATATTAATGGAAGTGTTGACTATCACTGATTAACCGATATACACACCAACAATAAGATTTTACTAAGAAACAAAGATAAATTGTACATTTTATTATAATCAGAACAATATTTTGGAAGACAAGAAAAGGCCATTCAAAACAGTATTTGCATTACTACCATGTTTACTGAATGGTTCCAATACTTTGAGCCACTGACGTGGAAGAACTATGTGAACCAGGTGTTCTGACTTTGCCCCGACTTCTCTGGCTTAGAGGGTTTTTTACCTTCGTGCATAGAATGCATGAAGGTAAAAAGCCTTGAGCCTTTGCAACCACTTTATGCACAGCAGCCCCATTACTTACCTGAGCGCCATCTCAATCCAGCGATGTCCACGAGATCCTCGGGTGTCTTGGGTCTCTCCTTCCTAAATTGGCTGAGACAGCAGCAGGAGCCTATGGTCCCCACTACGGTCAATCACAGCCAGGAGCCAATGAGGAGAGAGCAGGGGGGCAGGGTCTAGCCACGGCTGTGTGTAAATGGACACACAGAGCAGTGGCTTGGGAGCCCCCATAGCAAGCTGCTTGCTGTGGGGGCACTTGGCAGGAGGGAGGGATCAGGAGTGCCAGCAGGGGACCTGAGAAGATGATCAAGGCTCCTCTGTGCAAAACCACTGCACACAGCAGGTAAAGTATGATAGGTTTGTTATTAAAAAAAAAAAAAAATCTGCCTTTACAATCACTTTAATGATTGTTCAAATCAGTGACTCAACATACCATGGTCAGAGTCACTGGAACACATTTAGAGAAGCTTAACAATGGCCACCTCCTTAGTCCTCTCAGGACAAAATCTGTTTTTAAATTCTGTTTAAAAATTATTTATCAGTGACTTTCAAATTTATGCATAAATGTGTCAAATTCATTCTGATCCCCTTTGGTAGGGGCTAACCACCAACTATACAAGCTACAGACCAGGAAGCTATTAAAAATGACAGCAGCAATGCTTCTGTATGTAGTTTTCCTCTGATTAAGTATTAATTTAGCCTTTTTACAGCCATTTATTTAAACTTGCAGCAGACCTATTACAAAAAAAAAGCTTCCTACCAGGACTATCCTTGGCTCCTACTGGCCGAAGTTTAGGTACTCCCCCTTGGAAGAGGCCTCCTTTGGGCTGCATCGCTCCACCAGGTGTGGGTCCAAAACCAGAACCCCCTCCTCCTGCACCTTTAGGTTCTGCAAAATGAAATAAAGTTAGTTATGTGCTACTACAACTAAGGAAACACCATAAAAAACAAACATTCATCACTCTGAGAATCTTGAATATAAAAAACATGAAGCGTTGTCTCCAAATATCAGCTCCCCAGACATCTATGGAGAAATGCACGTCTGAGGGACTGGATGCAGCTCCTAGAGGCAGGATTTTCAAACAGATGAGGAGTCCAGAATTAGAAGTTGGTGTTATTTACAGTCTACATTCACCTCCTTTTTTTTCAACAAGCCTATAAAGACTGCATGCATATAAACAGCATTGAATTCAGTAGACTACCACCAACTATATGCATGTTGGACCTGAAGAGGTTGCTGTACTTAAAGTGGAGTTCCACCTAAAAAAAAAAATAAATAAATAAAAGTCAGCAGCTACAAAAACTGTAGCTGCTGACTTTTAAAATACAGTCACTTACCTGTCCCTCAGTCCAGCGGTATCTTCACCACCGCTGGTTTCATCGGCCATCTTCTCTCCCTGGCGCCGGCATCTTCAGTGTTGGCACCCGGCTGTGACAGCTTGCGGCTTCACAGCTGGGTGCCCATCACGCTTGCACGAGAAGCGCTGCGCTTTGTGAATGGCCCCGTAGTCTTCTGGGACCTGTCACATGTCCCAGTAGACTACAGGGAGGGAAGGGGGGGGAGGACAACTTCCGCTTCCAATCACCTAGGCCACAGTTGTCAATCTGGCGGTCCTCCAGCTATTGCCAAACTAAAAGTCCCATGAGACATTGCAAGATTGACAGTTAAAAGCATGACTCCCAAGGGCAGAGGCATAATGGGACTTGTAGTTTCACAACAGCTGGAGGGCCTCCAGTTTGACACCCTTGGCCTAGGCAATTGCAGCGGAAGTGTACCTGTCAAAATTTGCTTACCCGCTCCCCAAAAGGTGCAAATCCTTAATGGGGAGCGAAGGACAAAGGCTTAAAGCAGAACATCCCCTTTATGGGTGCAGCTCCGCTGTAAGGCCAGGATTTCCATTTCAGAATACTAGACAGAGCACCAAAAATTGAAAAAAAACAGTCATCTCCTTAGTCACCATATAAAATATGTGTTTCCCATTGATAGATTAAAAAACACCCTTATAATCCTGACCCTTCTTTGTAGAAGCGACCATGGAGACTTCCTCTATAGTGGGAAAAGTGAGTTCAGAGTCCAATGGAGAGCCATGCACAGATAAAAGTGGGACTATGTAAAAATAGTGGGGCAGAAGTGGACCACTTGAAATCTACCACAAGGGGATTGCTTTTTTTCCTTTTAAATCATAAAAACTTTCAAACCCAGTAAAAATAAAAACAAAATATAAATGTTATAGAAAACCTTCAAAACAGAATATATATATATACATATTGTATACACACACACACACACGTGTGTGTATAATGAGTGTAGATTAATGAGAAAAAGAAAAACATGTATAAAGAAAAAACATGTATTTACACTGTAGTACACACACAAACTCACGCCTTGCATGTAGAAACTTGTCCCATAAAAAGGTTTACAGTACAGCTTATCATACAATTTTAAACAAAGTCAGTTCTCTCATCAATATTTATACAGATGGACTTGGTCACTTAATGTCCCACTGTCAACACTTCCTGGGTCACACATACTTTCTATTACAGGGGCACTTCTATCGCTGACCGCAGTGGTCTTCTTCAGCTTTGCTCCTTTACAGATGTCATTGAGAAGAGCCCCTCGTCCCCGCTGCTCATCACGATTCAGTTTAGGAGGCTCAGTATTAGCCTAGGGACAGAAAATCAGTACAACGTGAAATAATCAGAGGTGTAAGACCGTTCTCTAAGCAGCAATGAGAAAGAAAAAAAAAACAAAAAAACAAAACACTAGCTGGTTTATGAATACTGGAAATGTGTGTGCTGCCCAGAACAACCAGACAGACTTAATAATCCCAGCACAAGTTTAAACTAGAAGGTAGAATATGGCTGCTTGCTCTAAAGCATTTATGAGTCTTTGAACTTTTTTCTATTTATTTTTCTGCTATTTACTGAAGAACATAATTCAAGTTCAGCAAACTAATTGTGAGAACTACTAGTTCCAGCATGACATAACCACCCAAAAACGAATTTTATCTATACTTGATTTATACTTTTTCATGCACTCGCGCGTGTGATATCATGACCAGGCAGGAAGCAAGGTGTGGAAATAAAGAAATTGACTGACACTGGAGGAGAGCCAAGTACTTATCTGCAGAAGGCAACACCTCCTGATAAATCATGCCTCACTTTCTGTACATAATGTGACCGGAGTAACTATACCAGTAATTCATCCCCTGATTAACGCATCACAAAGACAGCAGATGTATGAGCATAAGGCCCCATACACAAGATAAGAATATCGGATGAACGATCGTCCATTTTTTTTTTTTTTGCATGCTAGTCTCATATCAAAAGTGAAGAGGTTACTAAAGTTAGGAAAATTCTTGTAGGACAGAATAAAAATTCAAGTGATGTAATGTGTAATATTTGTGTTGTATTTTTGGATGAAAATTTTACTGATTAAATGAAAATTGTACGAGTAAAATTTTTGTGCTGGTGCCTTTGAATAATTTCAGATGAAAGCTGTGTACTAACGATCGGATTATTGTACAATCACTTCCAAAGTGGTACTTTTTGTACAATTTTCTGATCGTGTGTACTAGGCTCCTGCAGTCAGGGTACAATACAACTCAGCCAGCATCTTCCATTTGCTGATAGGAAGAAATATTTCCCCAGTAGTGACACAGGCAGACAGTCAGGGGATTTAACTCTCTCCTGATCAATTTAAAATGAAATGCAAATGTTTTAGATGGAGTTGGGCTTTAAGGCCATTTACATTAAACCAGACATATTTACATACAAATTGTAAAAAGACTATAGATTACCTTTAAAATAACCTTACCTGTGAAAACGTTGGGGGAGGGGGAGGCCCCGGAGGAGGTGGCGGAGGAGGAGGAGGGATGGGCATTTTTCTGCTGATAAAAGCTTCCCCCTCTAAGCTCCCAGAACCAGCCCCTACAAAGGGGTGGGAACCACTTAATTCCTGTATCAAGAAAAAAAAAAAAAAAAAAAAAAGTATTGTTAATTCCTGTATCTCAAACTAAGCTACCACACATTTATTTATTTCAGGTACTTATATAGTGCTGTAGATTTACACAGTGCTTTGTATATTGTACATTCACATCAGTCCCTAACCCTCAAGGGGTGTACAGTCTAAGCTCCCTAACTCACATTGATTACATATACAATGGGGATCGAAAGTTTGGGCACCCCAGCTAAAAATTTGTATTAATGTGCATAAAGAAGCCAAGGAAAGATGGAAAAATCTCCAAAAGGCATCAAATTACAGATTAGACATTCTTATAATATGTCAACAAAAGTTAGATTTTATTTCCATCATTTACACTTTCAAAATAACAGAAAACAAAACAATGGCGTCTGCAAAAGTTTGGGCACCCTGCAGAATTTATAGCATGCACTGCCCCCTTTGCAAAGCTGAGACCTGCCAGTGTCATGGATTGTTCTCAATCATCGTCTGGGAAGACCAGGTGATGTCAATCTCAAAGGTTTTAAATGCCCAGACTCATCTGACCTTGCCCCAACAATCAGCACCATGGGTTCTTCTAAGCAGTTGTCTAGAAAACTGAAACTGAAAATAGTTGACGCTCACAAAGCTGGAGAAGGCTATAAGAAGATAGCAAAGCGTTTTCAGATGTCAATATCCTCTGTTCGGAATGTAATTAAGAAATGGCAGTCATCAGGAACAGTGGAAGTTAAAGCAAGATCTGGAAGACCAAGAAAAATATCAGACAGAACAGCTCGCAGGATTGTGAGAAAAACAATTCAAAACCCACGTTTGACTGCACGATCCTTCCAGAAAGATCTGTCAGACACTGGAGTTGTGGTACACTATTCCACTATAAAGAGATACTTGTACAAATATGGTCTTCATGGAAGAGTCATCAGAAGAAAACCTCTTCTCTGTCCTCACCACAAAAATCATCGTTTGAACTTTGCAAATGAACATATAGACAAGCCTGATGCATTTTGGAAACAAGTTCTGTGGACCGATGAGGTTAAAATTGAACTTTTTGGCCGGAATGAGCAAAGGTACATTTGGAGGAGAAGGGGCACAGAATTGAATGAAAAGAACCTCTGTCCAACTGTTAAGCATGGGGTTGGATCAATCATGCTTTGGGGTTGTGTTGCAGCCAGTGGCACAGGGAACATCTCACGAGTAGAAGGAAAAATGGATTCAATAAAATTTCAGCAAATTTTGGATGGTAACTTGATGCCATCTGTGAAAAAGCTGAAGTTAAAGAGAGGATGGCTTCTACAAATGGATAATGATCCTAAACACACCTTGAAATCCACGGGGGATTACATCAAGAGGCGTAAACTGAAGGTTTTGCCATGGCCTTCACAATCTCCTGACCTCAACATAATTGAAAATCTATGGATAGACCTTAAAAGAGCCATGCGTGACAGACAGCCCAGAAATCTCAAAGAACTGGAAGACTTTTGTAAGGAAGAATGGGCAAAGATACCTCAAACAAGAATTGAAAGACTGTTGGCTGGCTACAAAAAGCGTTTACAAGCTGTGATACTTGCCAAAGGGGGCAGTACAAGATATTAACTCTGCAGGGTGCCCAAACTTTTGCAGACACCATTTTTTTGTTTTCTGTTATTTTGAAAGTGTAAATGATGGAAATAAAATCTAACTTTTGTTGACATATTATAAGAATGTCTAATCTGTAATTTGATGCCCTTTGGAGATTTTTCCATCTTTCCTTGGCTTCTTTATGCACATTAATACAAATTTTTAGCTGGGGTGTCCAAACTTTCGATCCCCACTGTACATACTAGGGCCAATTTAGACAGGATCCAATTCACCTACCAGCATGTCTTTGGAGTGTGGGAGGAAACCCATGCAGGCACAGGGAGAACATGCAAACTCCAGGCAGGTGGTGTCGTGGTTGGGATTCGAACCAACGACCCTAGTACAGCCAGGTGGAAGTGTTAACCATTTAGCCACTGTGCAACACATGATCTTATAACACACACACACACACACACACACACACACACACACTGAGAAATACTGAAAACTATCCACTGCAACATACCAGCAAAGATGAAAATTGCGGGATAGGGGGTTCTCTGCCAAAAACATACGAAAAAAAAATAAGCTGTGCTCCAAAACCGGTCTGATCTCTAACCTATCAGACAGCAAAACGGTCACAGGCAAAAACTAAGACCTGCACAGAGATCCTAAAGCAAAAGAGAAGGTTTTGCTACTAGCTGTAAACAGATAAAATGACGCAACAGTGACACTACTATATTCATCTAATTGGCCGCAAATGGTCCATCACAGTCCATAATAATCAGTGTAGAAAATATCCAAGGGGTAACCTCTTCAGAAAACACTAAGGCCAATTCACAGCAGTGCGTTTTAGAGTAGCTGTAAATCACAGATCAATGAAAGGACATCTGAAAAAACAATTTCCAATGTGTCCTAGTCACACCATAATGTTGCGTTGCACAAAAATGCAACATGTCGGTCAATGGACCTCAGCACGCCTTAAAACACGACTAAAATGGATGGAAATGTACATGCATTTTAGCGCAAGTCAGTGTGAATGTGACCTAGGGCTACAGGAGAACTATCATAGTAACATATGGCTTCCCAGGTATAAAGTATTCCTGTGTCTTAAAGTGGGTATAAAGGCAATACCTCAATTCACTACCTGCACAAAGGTAAAAAAAAATGTCCCAATACTTGTATCACCCCCTCATCTACCTATATACTTACTGAGTCCCATCCTGAAGCCGCGCTTGCTTGTCTCTGTTCTCCTCACAGGACACAGAGGCAGCAATGGGGGCCAATGGCTTTTGCTGCTGTCAAAATCCTGTGAGGAGGGAGTGGGGGGCAGGGTCAAGCTGCGCTGTGTGTGCCTTTGGACGCACACAGCAGGGCTTGGGAGTGCACCTGCACATATACCACTATAGAGAGCGGCTTCCTATGGTGGCACATGCAGAAGAGGCAGAGCGGAGAGAATTAGTGGAGGACCCCAGAAGAGGAGGTTCAGGGCCACTCTGTGCAATACTATTGGTATGTTTATTATTTTAGCGAGAAAAAAAAAAAAAAAAAATGTAAAGAATAGGTAAACCCAACATTTCCTATTCCTGATATGTGCCTGCTGTACCATGTACTTGCATGAAAAAGTATCCTGTTCTTTTTTTATTTGCTTCCTTTGTGTGAAATCCCTGGTGTTCCTGCGAGCCCATCCGCTTTCCAATTAAAAACTGACCACACTAGGTATGAGGGCACAGCGTGATGATCAGACTTGTGCGACGACCCCGTCCCCTACCCCTGGATAGTCATTCACTGGGAAGATCAGCATACTACTGTTTCTTCTCCCCCCTCTCTGAGAATAGAGAGTATATGATCACACACTCACATTTATTATATATATATATATATATATATATATATATATATATATATATATATATATATATATATATATATATATATATATATATATATATACACATATACACACACATAGCCTTTCATTTCTATTTTTAACTGAATGGGTTGTTATTCTTTTTTTGCAATAAAGGACAGAACATTTGACATCTGTCAAATCAGATTAGTATAGGTCAAATGTTTTAAAATAAAAGAATATAAACAAGTGGAAGGGATATGAGCAAATAAAGTGATAAACTACAAAATGGGCAAATTATAAGCCTCACCTTAAATACACAGCCACAAGATCTGGATCATGGCCTGAAAGCAGAGAACAAATGTTAGAACCAGACAGCGACAGGCTGAAATATGGCAGTCACTCATATACAATTCAGCATGGAATAAAATAGGTGCATTTGTATACAACCTGACAAAAAACAGTTGAGATAAGCACTGAATGAAAAATAAATCACTAATGTACTGAAATAAATTATTTTCCTAGTACTGCCAATCTATAGATTGGCAGTACTAGGAAAAAATTACTAGTTTCTTTCTAGTGTCCCCATTGGAAAACTTCCCCCTATTCTGGGGACAACCCAAGATTTGGGATTTTCTTTTACTTTCACTTTTGATAATACTGGTAAACTGGACAAATAAAGAGAGAGTGTGAATCTCCCTACCCAGGGCACAGTCAGCAATTCCTCTTCATGATATTCAAAACTAGAAAAAAAGTTTTGCCTTTACACTTTAACCACTTCAAAAGCAGGCACTTCCATCCCTTTCCTGCCCAGGCCAATTTTCAGCTTTCAGCACGGTCACACTTTGAATGACAATTGCGCGGTCATGCAACACTGTGCCAAAACTAAATTTTTTTATTTATTTTCACACAAATAGTGCTTTCCTTTGGTAGTATTCAATTACACTGGGTTTTTAGTTTTTTATAAATAAAACTAAAAGTCCGAATTTAAAAAAAAAAACAAAAAAAAAAAAAACACATTTTTCTTCGTTGCGGTTAAAATTTTGCAAATAAATAATCTTTAGGCCTAACTGTATTCTGCTACATTTCTTTGGTGAAAATAACCCAAGTCAGTGTATATTATTTAGTCTTTAGGAAATTTATGGAGTCCAAAAACTATACATATATCTGAAAATCAATCAATCCTAATGTACTGACGGCCTGTCTCATTTCTTGAGGCCCAAAAAAGCCAGGACAGTACAAATCGCCCAAATGAGCACTTTTTGGAAAGCAGACATTCCAAGATATTCAGTAAGAGACATGGCGAGTTTTTTGAAGTTGTAATTTTGTCACAATTTTCTGGAAAAAATAAAGAAAAACAGTTTTTTGTTTTTTTACATATTGTCACCAGTGCAGTAGAGTATCATCATATAACTGGTGGTGGTGGTGATCAGGGACACTGATGATAGTATGTTTATATAAAAAAATAAAAAGTTTCAGTTGTTTTAAAATGTTCTTTTCTTATGCATTATATTTTTTT